GTTTGTTTCATTATTCAAATAATGAAAGGTTTCATTATTTGATTTGTATTTCCATCATGTAGCAGCCATTGATATTATCCATGCGTCTCTTCCCAGTGCTAAGATCACACAGAACAGAAATTACTCATTTTATAGGTGAATAAGTCAATTTTCACAAATTTTTTGAAACGTAGATAAATAATTTCTTTAGTTATTAAATTGACATTTGTTTTTGCTTCTGATTTTCCTTTATGAATAAATTACAGGTGAAATTCAAAGCAGATATTGTATGGAGGAATGTTGCACTGTTCGCTGCTCTCCATATAGCTTCTCTGGTTGGCCTTTACCAATTAATTTTTCTCTGCAAGTGGCGGACAATGATTTGGTGTAAGTTTTGTTAGTAACATTTTCTTCGTAAATTTCCTGGCTTCTTAGTAAAAGTTTGGACATTTTTATTTAAAAGATCACATTTGAAGTCGGCTTGTATTCAGATTGTTCTTGCTGGCTTATGGGAGTTTTTGGTATAACAGCTGGAGCACATCGTCTTTGGTCACATCGTAGTTATAAAGCTAAATGGCCTGCTCGACTTTTTTTAGTGTTTTGTAATAGTATGGCTTTTCAGGTTACTACTTAACCAATTTTTACCTATTATACTTTTTCCAAAAATTTTGATTCCTATTTGTTAAATTGTAGTATCGATCCCTAAGCTGCAAAAGGTCTTATGTGTCAATAGTATTTTTTATCTATTTCGAGTTTATTTGTGGATATTATTCCCGATAAATTTAAGAATGATGTTATTGAATGGTCTCGTGATCATCGATGCCATCACAAATGGACAGATACAGATGCCGATCCTCACAATACAACCAGGTACACCTGATTCTTTATCCATATCAAATTCTAACGAAAGTGTTATAGACTTTTGTAAAATCTTTGTTTGAATCCCAATCAGTTTTTTTTTTCTTTTTGTATAAATATGGTTGTGTCATTCCACACATTATTTAATGATCAAAACTACAAAACAATTTTTTTTTTTAAATTTTATTAGATGATTCAGTTTATTCTACTATTTTACCTTCTATTATTATATAAAACTGTTATTTACATTTATCGAACGTTTGAAGTGCAAAAATCATGTTGTTATGGAGTTCCGTCTTACTTGTAAAAACTAATATTTTTTACAGAGGAATGTTTTTTGCTCATATGGGGTGGTTAATGGTCCGAAAGCATCCAGAAGTTAAAAGAAAGGGTTCTCAATTAGATCTAAGCGACCTTTTCAAGGATCCTATGCTGGCATTTCAACGAAGGTACTTTACTTATTTCATGCAATGAAAATATTCATTGCATGAAATATTAAAAATCGTATATGTCGAATATGAATCATTAAAATTAGTTTTTGAATTTATGGAAATGAAGTTAAAATTAATTTGTTAATTTCTAAGTCAGTACCTCTCATGTTAAATTTCATTCGATTCATTTTTTAAATGGAATTTTGTTCAATTTTTTTCTACTTTCAAAATTTTTATTTCATTTAAACATCTTTTGTTTAGGCATTACTTGAAAACTGTATTTTTTGCGTGGTTTATTGTTCCGACGTTTGTACCGATGTATTTTTGGAGTGAATCATTCATGATTGCTTTTTATACTTGCACATTGTTAAGGTGGTTTTCTACTTTTACTAGAAGATCTTTTAATAAATTTATGCTAGTTTTTATTTTTTCAGTTTTGTAAACGTGGATTAATAGCTCGTGGTTAGAGCGTAGGTGCTATGATTTATAAGATAAATTACATTTTCAATCACATTTCAGGTACTGTTCTACCTTGCATGGTACGTGGCTGATCAATTCAGCTGCCCATAAATATGGCTTCAGACCTTATAATCCTCATATATCACCTGTTGAGTCATTATGGGTGAGTGTAATTATTTCACAACATTTTTGATTCCCAAATTACCACTTTCCAGTTTTGAAACAAATTGTTGCTTATAATTTGCGGCTTTTGACGTGAGTTTAATGATTTGTCTAGGATATTACGAGAAACAAATCTTTTTCCATTAATTCTTGCGTACTGTTGATAATTGAAATAAATTATTTTCTTAGCTAGCAGTCACTGCCATGGGTGAAGGTGGCCATAACTATCACCATACATTTCCGCAAGATTATCGAACGTCGGAATATGTGCTGCACTTTAATATCACAAAACTGTTTATCGATATATTAGTTTTCTTAGGATTGGCTTACGATATGAAAGTTGTCCCACAGGAGGTAACATTCTCACAACAATCAGTTTTTGCTTTTAAAGTATTGTATTCTTGTACTGGCTTATTTCACTTTTCTCCTTTTGTTTCACTTTCATACATTTTAATTTTGGAGGTCGGGTTTCTATTTTTGGGAAGAATTTGCAGTTTGATAATATTATTGTAGACCAACTTTCTTATGTTTTTTGTTCTCTTGGCTTTGCATTGAAATTAATTGAAAAATATTTAGATCATTGAGCGACAAAAGGCGAAATACGCTGTGAAGAGGAATTGATATTCTAGTAGTATGATACATATCGGATTCCAAAAAATATATACTGTTTTTAAGTTTCGTAATATTACGGAGTAGCGAAATATCTTGGCAAGGAAATGTACCGTCATGATGACATTAAATTTTTTTTACTTTCAGCAGCATAATGCTGTTCATTGGACCGTAAGTGATGACTTATTCAAAACTTGGATAGTGTGTTGTTTTCACTGCTTATGATAAAATGTGTAAATATAAGCCAGGCTATGTAAGTTACTAGTATAATGCCACAGTTTTGTTGTAAAAGTATAATATTTATTTATTTGTGATTATCTAGTAGTTTTTCGTTTATCTCAGAATTTTTCCTATTGGTATAATATTTGTTAAGCGGAGTCGGATTAGATCTGATGGAAAGTTTTGTATGCTTTTCACGTGCTTTTAACATCCACATTTATGATTTATAGTAGAGAGTAGAAAATCAGAAGTATTATTTAATGATTTAGTAGTCATTCGGTTTGTTTCTTGTCTTACAGCTTATTTCTCTATTTAAGTAATTCGCTCTTGATCATAATAGTTCTACCAGAAGAAAGTCTGGTATGATTCCTTTATCATTCAAAAGTCTTGAATTTTGACAGGAAAGGATGGTTGCCAATTTTTGTGCGGAAGCTTTTCTGTTGGGAAACTAAAATTTACGTGCAAAGCATGTCTACTCGCTGTGTTGAATGATTTATAAATTCATTAAAGAATGCAGTGTTTTACAGCACAAAAAAGCGATTTCCATATGGATTCTGATTACTTTAATTAACGGTGTTAAATGCTTTCATTTTTCTTCAGTACAAATGCTTTGTAGCCCATCAAATGTTCGTCATAGCAAATTCTGCACAATACATTAAAGATTGTAAATAATTGAAAAAAATTCTGAAATAATTTGCATAAGAAGGCTTTCTATTTATTTTGTCATTATAAGCGTTAACATGCTCTTTACCAAATAAAATTTGCATAACCACAATTATGTACGACTAGATTCACGCAAATTTAAAGGTACTAATGCTTCAATTTCCCGCCAACATTTTAATTGTACATTTTAAAGTTTGCTTGTGAAAATAAAATCGTTTCCACATTGCTATAGAAAACTGACTGCAAAGCAATTGAATTTAAAATTTTTAACGAATTCGGGCTTTCCTGGTGCTACTTTACGAATGTATTGAACTCAAAAGTGTAAAAATATTTTAAAAACCACAATACTGCAATGAAGATTATTATTCTGCGTGACTGTTTACTTTCATCAATTAAAAAAGTAAGTAAAAGTGATAGTAAACATTAACGTAATCACCACTTACTTCAATGGATAAGGAGAGGATGTTCTTGACGAGTTTTGTTTTAAATTTTGTTCTTTATTTTCTACCAGTCAAGCAAGCAAGCAATTTTTGACGGATAGTAATGGTGCGTGCAATTTTTTTTTTCGATATTTAACATCAGAAGGGAGTATTTAAGTTTGTTGCAAAGATCCAAACGTATAGTTTATTTTTGATTTCTCTCAGATTTTTATCTCTTGAAAAGTTGAGATATTCTGTGTCATTCCAAATTACGCTTTAATTGGCTTAATTAAAAAGGAAGATAGAGATTACTATTGATATTCCATCTTGACACATATATTTCGAATTATTTATTCTTCGAAGGAATGAATTATTTCAAGTATATATTCGTTTTCACAGGTTTTTTTTGACCTTTTTGCAAGCTGATTGTGAACTTTTTTACGTAGAAAAATTTGTTCAAGTAGTAGATTTGTTTTGCAGATAACATGTTCAGTTGACTTCTTCACGCTTATTTTAGTTATGATGCTTTTGCTAGCATGTTTTAGAGTTGGCAGTGCAAATCTAATTTGTTTACGTTCACAAATTTATTGATATTAGAGTCTAAGCTATTATAGACAGTAATATCAAATTTGAACTCTTGCATATTTTGTAATACTTTTATGGCATCATTTTTTGAACTTGAACTTTTAAGCATGATTTGGTGAATTATTAAGCATGATTTGGTAGGTTGAACTATTAAGCATGATTTGGTAGG